AATACTCCAAGAAATGTATGACTAGGGAAGTTTTTGTTTAGATCAGAATAACTGGGCCTTTGGAATATGCAGAAATCAGGGACTGTATCCCTAGAGAATCCTGTGATTTTTTGACTTACAACCTTAGGGACTGAAGAAGTTTGTAGAAGTAAGTGCTCAACTCCCCTCCAAAAGAGGTGAGTCTCCCTTGAGTAAGCATCAACTTAAGAACAAATTATGGGAAAACTAGAGTTACGTCATTGATCATTATGCTTAATATGTTTTATTTCCTTGATATCCTCTTAAGAATATTCACGTACAGCCAAATTGCCTGATTATGCCTACTCTTCCTCACATTTCTTTTTAGAAAGAGGAGGTACTGTATCCAAATTGAGAATCTTCTGGTATCATCTGAAAAATATAAGTGAAATTCAAATTCCTGGGAATTTTTTCCATTACTTAATAGCATGGAATGGTATGGATGATTTTCAAACCCAGTCAGGAGGTAAGATAAACAGAGAAGATTTTATTGCGATTATTTCAAAAGAAAAACATCTTATCAACAAATATAAAGATTTTTGAGTTGACATGGTTGTTGCTTATGGTATTTCAAGAATACAAATATTTAATATATATGTCAAGGAAGAATATGCAAAAACCCAGTCATCACCTACCAGACCAGGAGATTTTACTTAAATTTTTCTCTTTAACTCCAAAATAATCCAGTGGTGTGCAGTCTCTTTTGAGATCATAGAATTAATTCATGTGAGGAAAAGGAAGTTGATTACAATGCAACAGACTCATAAATAATAGGCTAATGGTTATTGTATTTAAATATCTGGTCCACTAAAGTCTTAAGTAACAGTAACAAGGAGAAAGAACACACGGCGATTTGTATATTATTCATATATAAACTACGGCCAATAAGGGTTTGAGAAAGCATATAATTAAAGGTATTTGCAGTAAAAATAGAATTAACAACAAGTAATATGAAAGAGAGGTGAGAAATAATTATAACTGAGTGTTAGTTCAAACCCCAGGCAGCCAGGGTAAAAGAAAAAATATTAAATTTTTTTGAGTTCTTATTTACATAGTAAGTCAAATTCCACTATACTAGGCCTTAATTTCCCACAATAGACCCGAAAGGAATTTGGGGTAGGCTTTCATCTGAAGTCATTATTGTGGATAATGTCTTTATACATGGTTTTCAAAAGGGCTAAATTTATTCTCTATGTGCACAATTATCATATAGACCCTTTTTCAAAGTTCAGTTCATCTAATTAAACTGTGGTTTTATAAAATTTTTGTACTGTAAAAATAAGTGAACACTGCAGAACAGAACAGTGGTAATCTTTACTACTATCAGATATTGAACATTTTCTGCACTGATCTCACTGGGAGCTGCAGACCGGAGCTGTTCCTATTCGGCCATTCTTTGAAATTTCAAATTAATTTCTTTGTAAAAAAAAAAAAAAAAAAAAAGTCATAGTAGTATTTGGGTTATTTTGACAATTAAGTGATAAAAATTATATGAAATGTCAAATACATACTAATACTTCACATGTTATAAATTGCCCTTCCCTTTGTGAGCTAAAATAATATGTCTTTCCTCATGGTGTATTAATTGAGGGTTAGAGTATATCTATAAATTGATGGTTGACATGTCCATTAAACTGTGTGTAATATCAATGATCTTAACTGCTCTCTTTAGAAAAGCTGGAGATTACAAGATTGTTTCTTCTAGGGAGTATTTAGGGTACAAATGTGACATGGTTTTGCAGAAAAAAAATTAGTATTTTAAATGTTAGACCTTCAAGTAGCTAAGTTAATAAAGCAAAGCAAAACAAGGTTAGATGTTTTTCTAGAAAGTTAGAGAGTTTGACTTCTGGCTTGAATTGAAAAGTCATAAACTTTGCTTAGGTCTATCGCAACACTAAAGCAGCCCCAGAGCATTGAATCATAGACTGGTTATTTCTTACAGGGGCTGGGAGAGGGGTATTTGAGGGTGGCAGGATTCCAGCTAGTTTAGAGCCTGTTGCAAATACAAACTTCATCTTCTAGTAACAATTCTGTTCCAGGCATTAATGGTCTGCAATCTCCTTTGAGATCATTTGATTAAGTATCAAGTTCTTTATCTTGGTTACCTTCAGAAAACAATAAAGACTGTTACCTAGAAGATTTTAAGTGTAGGGATATAAATGCTCTAGATGCAATAGAAAAACTAGTGAGATCCTGTGGATAACTGGAAAGGACACACCAGTACAATTCAGTCACATTGTTCAATCTCTAGACAAAATTGCTGTACTATTTCAATTATTTTAACATTGTTTACTCTGAGTTAGTCTTCCTAATATAATTATAGACAACTGCTTCAGCGTTTTCCACTTTTGTTTACATTTTACTTTTATATATATTTATTTAGAAACGTGGATACTCAGAAAAGTAGAAAAAAGTTATCTAAAATAACCATTCACATTTTGGATATTTCTTTCCAGCCTTTATTTTCTATCTGGGTTATCTTGGTTTAGGTTTTGGTTTTGCACACAATGTTATAACATATACTTTTGTTTCTGTTTTAACTTAATCATCTTAAAATAATGTAAACATGACTTTTGTGTTCATACAAATTCCCCACAAACATCATATTAATAGGCGCATAATGGCCCATTACATGAGTGTACTATGATTATTTGACAATTCCACTAACATTAGACAAGAATAAAACTCTTTTAAAAATAATATCCAATAATAGCAAAGATCTGGAAAGAATAAAATTATTCGATACTAGAAGTCCCATGGAAAGTGATTTATTAGAAACTATTCAGCATCTTAACAATCTTCATTTCCTGTTCCCAAGAAGATTCTGGGAATCCATGTTAGGAAATTAAACCTAAGTGCAGAAAAAATGAAGGCATAATGCCTACAGAGTGTTTGTTACTCGCTTCTTAAATTACACCAGCATTGCAAGAGTAATTCGAATAATTTATTCTATATTGTTCATTATCCCTTTTTTCCCATTTGAAAGCATCAAAGCAGATTGGTGATTTCTTTTATAAATATTTGCAAGTGAAATTATGATTGCAGCTACCATCTTAGGGCTGTTTGGATACTATTTATACCATAATTATTTTCCAAAATTTATTTTCAAATAGGAATCAATGTTTAGATGTTCCAGGAAAAGAAAAGAGAGGGCAGTCTATCTGATTCATATCTTGCCTGAAAAAACTTCAATGCAGATTTTCAAGGCCTCTATGTAAATTTCATTGGCAGATTCAGAGTAGGTTAATATATGCAGCTACAGTCATTCAAATTCCTATCTTACTACTAAAAAAAGTGTATGCTGGCCTACCTAACACTTTCTACCTTCTTTGTAATTCATGCCTAGAAAGTAGGATGTAGCTTGAATTAGTTGAAAGCCCTCATTTCCATAGCCAACAGAAGTATAAAAACATCCAGCCAGGGGTGGTGGTTCATGCCTGTAATCCCAGCACTTTGGGAGGCCAAGGTGAGTGGATCACTTGAGGTCAGGAGTTCCAGACCAGGCTGGCCAACACGGTGAAACCCCGTCTCTGCTAAAAATACAAAAATTAGCCGGGAGTGGTGGCATGCACCTATAATCCCAGCTACTCACGAGGCTGAGGCAGGAGAATTGCTTCAACTCGGAAGGCAGAGGTTGCAGTGAACTGAGATCACGCCACTGCACTCCAGACTGGGCAGCAGAGTGAGACTCTGTCTCAAAAAAAAAAGGAAAAGAAATATAAGCATCCTTTTATGCCGATTATCTTGCCTGACCATTGTAAACCAGAGTTTTCATAGAAAGCAGCACAACCTGTGGGCAAATGATTAGCACAGAAATGGCAAATCCTGTACCAGAAACACAGTCATTTGTTTAAAATATTAAGTCAAAATTCATTCATTGCATCAATTTTTTTCCACTAGGGATATATTTTAAAGCTAGATAGAATACCATGAGGATGTTGAGATGTTTTCAAAATGATATTCTGTGACTTATTTGCTACAAAGAAGGTGGTAATCTGCTAATATCTACCCTTTAAGTTTTTTCAGATTAAAGTCATTTGTTCCATGTTCTTTGGTGCACTACTCAGGTGCCTGAACTGGACCAATATTCCTTCTTTAGGAAAACACTGGCCCTAACAGCAAATTCAACAAGAAGAGGAATGAATTTCATATGGACAGAGGTAAAAGGCAGGTTCTTCTCTGTGCAGTTTGGTTGCTTGCATATATAGCCAGAATTGATTGCAATAAACTACACAGAAGTAACTTCATGTTTCACCAGTGTTCAGTTTAGCATTGTCTATTGTCCAGTTGCTATTTTATACACAATTGAAGTAGCAATAGCACTGCAGTGGTATTGGAGTCAGATGGTCTGAAAGACCTTGCTACTCAGGTGTGTTCTGTAGACAAGCAATATCAGCATCACCCGGGATCATGCTAATAAATGCAGCGCTCATAACCCACCACAGATTTCTTGAATCAGAATATTTTACAAAATTCTTCACGTGACTTGTAAGAAGACTAAAGTTTGAAAGCACTTGACAAGATAGCTGGATCTCTTCCTCAGTTGTACATTAAAATCACCTGAAGAGTATTATAAAAAAAGAAAAGATGCCTGATTCCCACCCCTTCGATAGAACTTACATCATTTTGGGAGGGTTATAAGGTATAGTTTTAAAAAATGGGATTTAAAGACAAAAAAGTGAAGCTTTGCATAACAACTCCCTCACTTACTATAATTGTATGTAAGTTTCTCACTAGCCTTCATTTTCTTCGGGGAATTATAGTGTAATAAGATGAATAACACGTGAACGTATTTGTAAACTACAAAAAACTAAGCCAATGGCATTAATTATTTTCATGGCATAAAATCAAACTATAAATCTTTGTCAAACAGATTAAAGCATGCTCTCTTCAAAATACTGATTTTCAAAGTGGGATCTGTGGATCACCTGCATGAGAAGTAACAGATGCTTGCTAAAAATGCAAATGGTTCTTCCCTGCCTCACACCTCTTGCAACAAAATCTCAAGAAATCGAATACGGAGGCCTGCACTTTTTAACAAACTACCCGTATAATTAACACGTGTCTTCAATTCACTGTTTTATGATCTAGAAGAGGAATCCCAGAAGCTAACCTCAAAGCTGTTACCACCACTCTAGCCAGCAGAGATACACTTGCCCCTCCCACACCAATTACCTCTCACTTCATATGTTAATGCTATACAGACTTGTTAAATTCTAGGTATAAAACAATAACATGGGAAGGACCAATTGGACAGAGATTGAGTTCATTCTGCAGGGACTTTCAGAGTACCCGAGAGCTGAAAAATTCCTTTTCGTGATGTGCTTGGTGATGTACCTGGTGATTCTCCTGGGGAACGGCACCTTGATCGTTCTGATACTCCTGGATCCTCGTCTCCATACACCCATGTACTTCTTCCTTGGGAATCTTTCCTTCTTAGACATTTGGTACACATCCTCCTTCATCCCCTCAATGCTGATACACTTCCTATCAGAGAAGAAAACCATCTCCTTCACTAGATGTGTGGTTCAAATGTCTGTCTCTTACACTATGGGATCCACCGAGTGTGTGCTTCTAGCAGTGATGGCATATGACCGTTATGTGGCCATCTGCAACCCTCTGAGATACCCCATCATCATGGGCAAGGCCCTTTGTATTCAGATGGCAGCTCTGTCTTGGGGACTAGGCTTTCTCAACTCATTGACAGAAACTGTTCTTGCAATACGGTTGCCCTTCTGTGGAAAAAATGTCATTAATCATTTTGTTTGTGAAATATTGGCCTTTGTCAAGCTGGCTTGCACAGACATTTCCTTGAATGAGATTATTATAATGTTGGGCAATGTAATATTTTTGTTTTCTCCATTACTGCTGATTTTTATCTCCTACATCTTTATCCTTTCTACTGTACTAAGAATCAATTCAGCTGAAGGAAGGAAAAAGGCCTTTTCTACCTGTTCAGCCCACATGACAGTGGTGATTGTGTTTTATGGAACAATCCTCTTCATGTACATGAAGCCGAAGTCCAAAGACTCTGCTTTTGACAAGCTGATTGCCCTGTTCTATGGCATAGTCACCCCTATGCTCAATCCTGTCATCTATAGCCTGAGGAATACAGAGGTGCATGGAGCTATGAGGAAATTAATGAGTAGACATTGGTTCTGGAGGAAATGATGACACACTGACACCTTTGAGTTTATGCACAAAATACACTCACAAGTTTGAGAGAAGACTTTTAAAGATAGAAGGAAAGCAATTAAGGTCATGTTGAGTCAGAATTTCAGAGTTAGAAAAAATCTGAAGATTAAGAGTTTAACTATATTGCTTTATGAAAATGACTGATTGCATTAAAATATAGAAACAAGTGCTCTGTGAGAGCAGACTTCTGGAAACAAGAAAAATATTTTAAGTACGTCTAAGAAAATCTAGCTTATTAATTTTAACAATTAAAACACATTTGTCAGCCCTCTTGTTAAAAAAAAAAAAAAAAACTATTTTGTATTTTTGCTCTTTTATTCTTACTTTTTATTTTATCCAGGGACTGGATCTGGTCCCAACTCTCTCTTCCAGCTACATATTTCAACCTCTTTCCCTGTCCTTTCCCTCCCCCACCTCTTTGCACAAGCTGTATTCTATTTACTATGTAATTACCAAATTATCATTTTGTTTCACACCTAATGACAATAGCACATGCTATTCCATCTTCATTTTCACATTTCTCCTTCTCAGGTGAAATCCTAATAATCTTATAAAGGACAGGTCAAGTGTCATATTCTCTGCAACACAATCCAAAGCTTTCCCAGAGTTAGCTATTCCCTCCTCCGTGCTGCCCTGGACCTTATCTCCACTAAGCGATTTTTCTTTTGTACTCTAATCATTTATTACCTTCCAAAATTCTTCCCAATAGCAGAACTATGGCTCACTGTTCTCTGCATAAAATCTAATGTCAAGTTAATTAAAAACAGTTGGCAGTAATTAGCTGTTGAATTAATTAAAAATTTTAAAGGATGGTAAAATACAGTTTAAGTACCTGATTTAATACAGAGAGATAACTGAAATTTATACATTATTTCCTTTACCAAACTACAATTCTAAAAGATTTTGGTAAAATAACACCTAATTTTTAAATGTGGAGAAAAATAAGGGAAGATAAAGTCTGAATAAAATATTCTGAAGAGATCATTTTGGCCAGGTAAGACAAAAAATCCTAAAGTATATTATTATCAAATAAGCAATTGCTGAGAAAAATATATCAATTGTATAAACTCTTATAGAACACTGACAATTTCAATTTCTTTCAAAAGCAATTGATAGTCTCATTTAAAATATTTTCCTTTCATTATAGTCTCAATTAAAATATTTTCCTTTCATTAGAAAAAACCTTGGACTGGCTAGTGAATAACATATAGTTGTATTTTTTATAAAATATATATTTGCATAATATATAGTTGAGCTGCCTGGTACACTGTCATAGCCTGAGCTGGGTGAGGAACTCAGCTCAGGCTATGAGCTGAGGCTATGAACTTACTTGTTCAGTAAAACCAGTAAAGATTTTTATAACCCAATGGCATTGAGAAAGGCATCCTTACTTGTTCTGCCCAGCATGTTTTGGAGCCTGTCCAGAATAAGGGAGATGTCAACATGGAAGAGAGGCTCAGTTCAGGGCGTCAAAATCCAAGCGGCATGAAAGGGGCATACACACAAGAGGAAGGTGTAGCACCTGATTGAGGACCACACCTGCAAAGAAAAGCTGACTGGCAGAAGATATTAGAACACAAATGGGATAAGGGAAACACCTGTACACCATAGGCAGGTGGTCTGGAGTGAGTTGTCAGAGTCCTCATGGGGTGAGAAAAGCATCCATGGTGGGATGGGGAGGTTCAGAATATGGGTATCCAAATCTGAAAGGGGTGAAGAGAGAATTCCTGAAGAAAGACCTAAATGGAGTGAAAAGAGCTCACCTGAGGAGGGGAGAAGAGTCAAGGTGTGTGAGAAACCGATTAGGGTGAAGTGGGCGTTTTTGAAGGAAACAGCCTTGTCTGAAGTGTTGGAACCCAAGCCAGTTGAGAAGAATGTCAGCAATCACAGCTCACTGCAGCCTCGACCTTCACTGGCTCAGGTGATACTCTCACCTCAGCCTCCTGAATAGCTGGGGCTACAGGCACATGCCACCACACCCAGCTAATTTTTGTAATTTTTTGTAAAAATGGGATTTTGCCATGTTGCCCAGGCTGGTCTCAAACTCCTGGGCTCAAGTGATCAGCCTGCCTTGGCCTCTCAAAGTGCTGGGATTACAGGCATAAGCCACCATGCCAAGCCAGGATTTCTTTCAAGGTAAGACTACTAAAGAAGAATTATTTGTGTAGATGGAGGGAAGTTAGGGGGAAGAGTCTGGAAATGTTTTCATTTTGTTCTCAATTTTATATATTTATATTTATACACTGAGTATACACTTGTTGGTTCGCAATTTTTTTTCAACATTTAAAAAATGCTGTTCTTTATATTTGGTATCCATTGTATCTGCTGAGAAGTTGCCTCTGTTTTGTTGCTGTTTCTTTGAAAAAATGTGTCTTCTTTTTTCTTTTGGTTGTTTTTATATTTTCTCTTTAGAGTTTGTCTCTGATATTTTATAACGAGGTTCTTATAGGTGGCTTTTTTTAACTCATCCTCCTTGATGTTGTAGATCTCTTTAAATCTGTGGCTTGATGTCTTTTATAAGTTTAACAATTTCATTCGACATTTGCCATTTTTTCTTCTATTCCATTTCTCTTTCTCCTGTCCCTCTGAGCATCTAGTTAGATATATGTTAGATTTTTCCATTATATTCCATGTAGCTCTCACAGTCCTTTCTGCATTTTACTTCCTTTGTCTTCTCCATGTGTCCTGTCTGGTTATCTTCTACTGATCTATCTTCCAGCTACTTAAGCCCTTCTTCAACCTTGTCTATTCTGCTATTAAATCTATGTATTTAGTTCTTAATACTAGTTATTGTGGTTTGGAAGTCCATAATTTCAATTTTTAAAATATATTATTGTCTGTTGAAGTCTTCATCTTGTTATCTATGCTCATGGCAGGTTAACGTTAGTTATTTTAAAGTCTGTCTCTGATTACTTCTATATTTAGATCACCTGAGGGTCTTTCAATTGTCTGTTTTTGTCTCCTGGTCCTGTTTTCTTATTCTTTGTAATTTTTTATTAAATGCCAGATACCACAGATGAAAAAAATTATAGAATCTCTGGGTGATGTTTTATTTATCTAAAGAGGATTTACTTTATCCTTCAGTAGAAACCCAGAGTAAGGGAGATTGTCTTAGGTCAAAGACAGGTTGAAATAACTTAGAGTTGGATTTCAGACTTTGTAAATATAAGCCAAAATCTAATTCACCTCCTTTTCTTAGATTGTCTTCTCTGGAGTCTTCAGAGTCCCAACTGAGATTCTAGAGATTTCATTAAAAAGCTTTTTTTTCTTTAGGTCCCAGACTCCAATTTTGATCTCATAACCACAGGAGGCAGCCACAATCTCACCTAACATTCTTAGTTATTTTTTGTACAATCCTGGCTTCTTGTTCTGACTAGCCTAGAGTCAGCAAATGCCTCATGTGGAAAACCAATGACGACAGTGGGGAGCACTCATCTGTACATCCCTTCAGTTTGAGACCTTGGCCTCTCAAGAACAGGGTGTCTTAGCTGGTCCAAAGTTCATGTTTTGTTTTGTCTTCCTAGACCCGTGACAATGCCAAAGTCTATTTTCACTTTTTCTGTCTCTTAATAGCAGCCCTCTGCTCAGTTTCTCAGCCTATCAAGCAATAATTAAGAATCAGCAAATGTCCCAAGAGAGTAAAAGAGGAGTACAGAAGGTTTGGCTCATTTAAATAGACTTCTCTTTTCTTCAGAATCTTAGCTCTTTATATTCTGACTTCTACAGAAATAATAAAGTCCATTTACTTTAAAAAAACATTTCTGGCTGGGAAGAGACTACCCTCCATGGGCTAGTGAATTCTTAGAGATAGCAAAAAGCTCAGCCAGGAGCATGCCTCTGTCATGGAAACTAACTAATCCAGAGCCATACCTTCTTTATCTGGTCCTTAAACCCCAGTTCCCAGTGACAATTGCCAGACAACCAGAGATCACTCCTTTAGCTCAAAGCCTGCAGAAATTATTCAAACCTTCCAATCCTAAACTGTTCACTGTGCCTTGACTTGCCTTTCCTGTGGAAACTTCAATAAAGGCAGTGGCCTAAACCTTCCCAGCACACCTGTTTTTTACCTCCTGACCATCCTGGTGGCTTCCCCATGTGGCCCTGTGTGATGTATATCATGCCCCTTATCTCTAAGACTTGTGAGTATAATAAACTTTGCTTTCCTGACCCTCTTCTGTGTCTCCTCATGTCGCTGCACCTGACTAACGATTTCATAAAAGACTACAAAACAACTGTGTTTTGGGGACCTGATATTGGATCTGCGGTGGAAGGAAGATTGCTTCTGGTTATTGCTGTGCATATGTTTAGCACTTTAGAGTGTATCAGTGCTGGCTGCCTTGGGCTATCCTATTCTTCTTATAATAGATATTCTGGATCAAAAAACATTTTAGCCCTGGATATAGCTGTCACAAACACAAGCAATATTTATTATCACAGTGGAGTATTTAGGAGCTGAGAAAAATAAGGTAGAATGAGAAAATTTTATTTACAAAATTTACTGTTGCCTGACGTTGGCTATGGGCTATTTAAAACTAGGTTTTGAGTTCTTTAAAAATTAAAATTCTCTTTTCAGCAAATTGCAGAAAACATAAAATATTTTAGCACCAAAATATTATAGCAAACATAAAGTCAATTTCATACTATGAGGTATAAATGAGCTCCCAGGAATCCTATAAAACATTTTTCTAATGATATGAGTAAGGCAGCACAGAAGAGATGGAAATAAGTAAAAAAAAAAAAAAATACCTGGCCACTATCTGGTATATAATAAAGGAAATTACAAATTTCAAAGTAAATTGTGGAAAACATCATTATAACAGAGTCTCTTGGTAAATTTTGATGTGGCCAAAGTAACTGCACTATGAGTAGATTCTGAGACAGGATTTCTTGTGCCTTGGAGACAAGGAGACGGAGGCCCAAACCTCAGTGGAAAGCTTCACCTATTTTATCACAGACCAAGGTCAATTGTCCTGAAT